TGTGTTGCTAACGATTGTCTGATGTTCGGTGACCGCGTAGTGATTCAAACAACCCTTCGTCCCAAGGTCCTACGCCAATTTCACTCTGGACACACAGGGATAAATTGTATGAAATCCATCGCTCGGAGTTATTCATATTGGCCAAACATGGGTAGGCGCATTGTCGATTTCGTCAGAGGATGTTAACAGTGACAAATAGCTGCAAAAAATCCTCCCAAGTTACCTTCAGTCACCTGGCAAAAGTCAGAAAATCCTGGTCACGAGTGCACACTGATTTCGCCGGACCCCTAGGTGGTACCACATATCTGATACTGGTTGATTGTTTCTCCAGATGGCCGGAGATATTGCCGATTTCGCCATCCTCTACAACTCGAACCATCAAACTCCTTAAGCAGTCAGCATCGTCTTACAGACAATGGTTCGCAGTTCCCATTCCGTCAATTCCAAGAGTTTTGCCTGCAAAATTCGATCTACCATGTCCGTACTCCGCCATATCACCTGCAATCTAATGGACAAACCGAAAGGTTGGTGGACACATTTAAACGATCCATGTTTAAAGCACGAGAGGAGGGGACCACATACGACATCATAGAAAAATTCTTATTCGTGTACCGGACGACCCCACATTACTTATTACCAAACTGAAAATCCCCTGCTGAGATGCTTATGGGCGGAAAGCTACGAACAGTTTATAGTTCGATGGCACCTAAGCGACTGGCCCAGCAAAGACCTGGAATGCAGACTACTCGAATGCCTTATGAAGTTGGTGCGAAAGTGTATGCACGGGACTACAGACACGGATATGATAGATGGATAGACGGTGAAGTCACTAAGAAACATGAGAACGTAATGTATGGTGTCAGAGTGAACCGAGATATTTGAACCAGGCACCATAATAAACTAAGGCCAAGGGAAGCTGTTAAAAAGGATGAAATTACGAAACGCCTCTCACTCGACTTACTGCTGGATACTTTTCAACTTCCGACATTAACTCCAACAGAGACCACTGAGTCATATACTCAAAAAGAACATCCTCCAGGTTCAGAGTTGCTATCTAGAAGGTGGTCGGATCGCGAACGTAAACAACCAAAGAACATTCAGATGAATCCTCGGCTGCATCTTTATTAACTTCTTCCACAGGGAAGTGTTGGGATATTCACCAAATATCCTAAGAGTACTATTTTTGGAAGTATAATCCTATTGGTCGGTTTCTATTGGTCAAAATTATGGTCGTTTTAACTGAAGTCAAATACTTCAATGCTGTTTCTTATTGGTTGTCCTAAACTGTCAGTGTTACAGATTTTGATGCTCTTTCCTATTCGACCTAAATGTATAAATACGCACTATCTGTAAGACTTCATGATTCCGTTCCTTCCTGCCTACCTCTCTTCTGTACTCGACCCAATAAACAACTCCATCCAACAGTGTGGCGTTCTGATATATTGGAGATTTGGGAATAGCGTTTGGGTCGTATTGGGATATTCGAATTCGGACGTCGGTAGGATTTGAATAGCTACATAGCAGCATTATAACAAATAAATAGTGCAGATTTTTGTTTGATGCTTCAGAATGACCTGCTGAAATCGTCACAGCGGTCTGGAATCTTGTAGTTCTTGAGACGTGTTCCCAAACATATTATGATGCATATTGGTTGCCAGGATACAGATACCTACGCGATGAAGGACATCTAATTATCAATTAACCAGACACACCATATCCTAGGAGAAGTCATTAGCCGAGACTTGGATGTTATTACGTATTGCCTTGTCATGGCCACCAAAAATTTTAGAACCCTATGGCCTGTACATCAATTGTTTCGTCATTTCGATTGTGTACAGTATCCGTTACATGTGGCTAGTCCCTGCCTTAGAGATTAAAGTGAGCTATTGGAAAAGGTTCAAAGAACTGTATCTATAATGATTCCTGGAATTGCAAGGTTTCCATATAATAAGAGACGGATTAAATTAAACCTGTTTACTTTTCATGCAGCAGCACCAGATGTGACTTGACAGCAGGTTTTAAATTAATAAATAATACATTTTCATCGAATCAGACTTCTTTTACTTGCCTTGCAAGACAGAGAATTTACGAAGACACACTACAAGAGTTCACACACTCAGAACAAATTATTTCTCATCTGACCAGTCGAAAATAAGTCTCCCCATCGCCATCAGTTTACTGTGTTCGCCCAAAAATTTTCTATCAGACAAGCGATAAAGGCAGCCCCAACACTAGTTAATGCGCCAACGAAATCACTCGTTGCTGTCAATATACCAGTTTCTGTTAAAAGTACCGAGTAGTATGTGAGCGTAAGAAAAGGAAACGATAACAGCACAAATCCAAAAAGGTTACAACTCAAGGACAAACATGTTAGACGAAAATCGCTAATTTTACTCAATCCTCCGATGTCGTAGGGAATTTCACTGGAACGTAGGGATGTCTTCAATAAAGAATGTAGTATATATATTACCGAGAAAATTAACGTCTTCCGAACGCCTAGTGTGTCACATATCACGACTTTTAGTCTCCGGTCTGGTGGCAGTGAACCTCAAAGCCGACAAGAGTTAACTGAAGCTCTTCTGGCTTGGTATTGTACAAATAATGATCCTTCTAGTCACATTAGAAGTTGTGGGGGCAAGTCTATCAGTGATAAACGAACATGGAAGTCAAATAAAGCACACAGTAATGTCGATTAACCATTGTCGATAACCCTTATTACAAACGGCTAAGATCACGGTCTCTTCACCAAAACTTGCTGCGGCCAGTCCCCACACAACTGGCTAACCCAGTTCTATGAATGCCTTCAGTGATCTGAGAACGGTTGTTGCTGTACATATGTAAAAGGTCATTAAACGAGCCATCAGGTAGCTCTTTTGCAACGGAAGAGGAGTGATAAGCAAAACTGGCAGGAATAAGGAATATGTATGAATGTATATGGACCTACAGATCATATTCTTAACCGAAACATGAAGATCCAGCGGCCTTGCTGACGACAAAGTTAGCTTGCGAGGAATAACACTTACAGTTTGATGGGACACAAAAAGCTAGGAGTGAAGAGGAGATGTATATGAACAGTGATTTATCAGCCGCAAAACCACAGAGAACTGAACTAACCAACCCGGTGTAAACCTCAAACTTGGATCCTTCGTTAGCAAACGGTCATTTCTTAGTCGAGGATATCCATGTCAACACACGGATAGGAAGTAGAGGAACTGGCGCAGTTATGTATAACAGGGTCATGAACGATATACTGAGGAGGGACGAAAAAGGTTACCACTAGATGACAACTGGTAAACAGTAAAAGACATCATTTAGAATGCTTTCCTACACAATGTATCCCAGGCAGGTGACACATCCAGAACGAGGAGATCATTGGTTGAGGGAGGTACTAAACGCTTACTGGAGGCAATAAAGAGAGCCTGGCACAAATGGAAGATCTCTCTATGACGGACTTCGAAGGATGTTTCCTTTTGGCAGTGCAAATCTGATGAAATGCCAAAGTTAAGGAGATAGGAGACATTTCCAGATGTGTATGCTCTCAAACGTCCTTATGAAAAAGATCATACCAACTTGCATGAGGCGGAAATCTTTAACGCCAACTTCACCAACCAGTGAAACAAAGCCGTCGAGTTCAGTGTATGCTGGTGGACCAGGCAATATCCATTTATCCCTTGCTTAATAGTAAGAGAACTAAAATACCTAGGCCTGTTCCAGGATGTGACAATATTCGTTCTATACTCTTGAAACTGTGTACAGAAGCACTCAGTTCACTGGAATTCGACCTCTCTAAGTGTTCCCTGAGGTCACACCAACTCCGGGCAGAATAGAAACAAGATAATATCTCCCCAGTCTTTAAGGGAATAGATAAGAAAGATACAGTCTGCTACAAACCAGTCGCATTAATTCCAATACTTTTGAAGGTAAAACGATTATTGGTGAGTGAGTAAATGGGGGCGTACATGAATAACATCCTCTATGAAGCCGGACATTGGTTTAAGAGAAGCAGGTCATTTGTACCCGATCTTCTCATAGTACAGATCAGCCGGATAACCTACTTAGACCATACATACCGGTTCATATAATATTCTTTGATTACGCAAAAGCTTTTGACAATGCTTCATGTACTCCTAATTCTGAACATTGCGAAAATGGGCTTCGCTGATCCATTGCTATCTTGTCTCAGAAACTACCGTGAGAACAGAAAGTTTCGCACAAAGGTAAATAAATCTGAAGAATGTGCAATGGACGACGAGTTAAACCTTAACCAGTCGAAATTCTACTTCATAAACATTCTGTCCTAAGCGATACAAACAACTTACGTCGTCAATGGAAGTTTACTCCTTGATGATTACTCAGTGCACGATCTTGTTCCAGTAGCCACAGAGAGCCTTCAAACTACATGGGAGATGCAATCAAGGTAAGCACAACTTTAAGTGAAGACAACTTAATGCAACTACCCAGAATTGATTTTAACTCCCTTTAAAACATACGTACGACCACACATTGAATTTCACAATTTCATTGCACCCTCCCTTGGAATTGTTATCGCTGAGTTATTGATGAATCAGATGTGGTCCAACTGGCAGACAGGATATTAAGTAGGTCTAGTCGCCCAACAGGAGTATCGTGCCAAATTATCGCAACCACATACCGTGAGACAACCCCAGAAAATTGTACACCAAACAGTCAACATTCAGGTATGTGATCAGTTTTTTTTCATTAGGAGCTATCGCAACTTGAAATGCCGAAGTGACCATGGCCCCCAAAGTGGATAGCTTTAAGAAGGGACTTGATAAACAGATAATCACATACGGATGATCATTTCCTTCTTACACCAACTGTGCATGGTGAGTGTCTCGAAACCTGCTAGTTTTTATTGTTGTCACCGCTCAGATTACATTAGGAAATACCTGGAGCAGTACCGAAAGAAGAAGAGTCAAGAGCAAAGAAATCAGTTAGTTTACATTAGCTCGTGAAAAAGATATTGGATATTGGAAATTGGATAAAGTTGTTTTCAGGGTCACTGGTTGTTGATCGTACGACAATTATGTAACTAAGATATGAGTACATTTGACAAAATATATCGTAGTGTTGTGAGAACGAAGTTTTTCAGTGGAGGATGGGGTGATCCTGAAACTTTGATGAAGTAAATAATAATTTACATATTTAATCATGAATTAGGTTGATAGAAAATATGAAGACTGTTACTGATCGAGATAAGTATTGCTCAGTCCATATCAGGACAGACATCGTTATTGAAAAAGTACGACCACTGATTCTCGATAACTCTTAGAAAACTGAGAACAATCACACTATATTGATCGAAGGATCATTCATATCACCATTTAATTCAATCATATCCAATGCATTAAAAGGCGATAACGGAATCGCGAGGTAGGAATCCAGTTCCCGTGATATGTTTTAAGGTTTCAAATGATCATTCCTAAGCAGTGGTCTACGAACTATCGTGCAGTTTGTTTACATTTTTCTGGCACTGGTGATCAAGTAATTCCTGTTGTGTAGTCGCGTTATGCTTTTAGAACTATCATAGAAGAAGAATTTTTCTAGCCAACGATCTATTAAAAGACGGAATAGCGTCTATTATTTTGATGAATCCGTTTTATTTTAAGCGCAAGCCTGATGAACAACAGTAAGTCTGTTGATTTTTTGTGGTTGCATTTTTGAAACCTGTTTATTATTAACCCGAAATTTGTTTAACGAAATATCACGATAATAACTACAAGCCATCTAAAAAACCGGTCACTAACAGCAATTATCATTTGAGAGTGGTATCTGGACTATTAAGTCCTTAAATAATTGGCTTTTTAATATTCGTCATTAAATAGTTTCTGAAACGGCCTTTATAAACCAGAACCATTTTTCATTTGTCTTTAATGCATATAATTTGATGCTGATAGAAAAAGGTCTTTGTATAGCTCTGCTAAGCTTGAGAATCGATATCTGCTGTACATCATAGGTCTCATTCGAAGTTTCAGTGAATCATAAATTTGTTCTCTGTCTATGCATTCCAGATATTATTTTACACATTCTTGGAGACTCTGTGTCAAAGATATCCCGTATCACGGCGTTAATGTTCACTAAACACCAGAGAAAAGACTGGACTTATCAAACGTATCCCCATTAACAGCTAGTTATTCTATATTGGTTTAGAAAGTCTCATTAAAACGACAAAAAATTAGCTTAAAAACGTTACCACACATTCATCAACTTATTGCTACATAGACGCCGAGAGTGGGTTCTATCACTAATTAGATGATTTTTCCATAGTGATGGGCAGGCATTATAGTATTATCTCAGGACTTTAACTAACAGACCAGACATGGAAGTACGGAATAAAACTAAATGATTCTTGGGAACTCAATGGTGGTAGGCCAGATTGCATGAGTTATCAACATTGCAGATGCACTACCCGAAATACTCTGAGTTATCTTTGTGGCCATTGTGGTGTTAGTCTGGCTGCAGGCAATCGGGTTTACAACGAGTCGGCAGCAGCAGTTTTGCTTCGGACTCTCGAGATATATCCCTTCTGAGCTCAATGTGTTCAGAGGTCCCCTTTTTCTATCACTTTCTCCAAAAGACTGCTGATAAGGTCGCTAAAACTTGTTAGTAACTCCGATATCCAATTGTATTTTCGGACTCACTGATGATAATTCAGTTGGTGTCATAAGTTCGATCTTAGTAGCATATATATATTTGCTACTTAGGCTGTGAATTGCAAGTATTCCTTACATACTTTTGCAAACACCGGTGTCTAGTATTATCATTGATACTACTGCTATTTTTACTCTTCCTATTTATCTTGTTAGTTTTATCTCGCTGTCCTAATTTATTGCCACAGCTTGAGGTGACGTACATCCGAGCCAGGCTTTACTTTGATCATGGTTGACGACTATTCAGTTAGGGTCCTGCAAATCGAATTAGTGGTATATCAGATATGTCTCTCCAACTATAAACCAGTGGCGATCCTCATATCATCTATTGCGTCCTCCATAAAAGTAAGCTGAACCCTCTTCCAAATAAGAGAAATCTTATCATTTTTTGAGCTGAAATGCATATCTTACCAAACTAACTTTTGCAGCTTAAATTCTTATTTCACAACCGCCCTCTCTTATTTCTTCACACTACCATTTCACTTGTGTTGTGAATTCTCATATCATATTGTGCCTAAAATTGTATATGCTACAAATAATCTCAAGATGGATTTCAGTGACAAGTTCTCTTCTGTTACTTTTGTTCTCCTAGAGGTTCTAGTCTAAATTCTGTTTCTGATTTGTTCATCATGGGCGGAGCTTTAATTATGGAATGCAGCGCATTGCTAGAATGGTGTGAACGTAATGGTTACGGACCCTTTGCACTTCATGGAATTTCAATGGGTGGCTATGTAAGTTGTTTTACCAGTTTTTTGGCTTAATTTCCACTTTTGCTTCAGCGTATATAAAACTTCAAACTTTATCATGTTTTACCCTACACATTGCAATGTTTCGTTCAATCCATTTTATATTGATGTAGAATTTTTGCTTGTTTGGTGAGTTTGTTGATCAAAGAAAGTTTTTTTTTATCGACTACAATTTAAACAAATTAATAATCTTAAAATAATTTCCAAAAATTATTATCATTACCGAGAAATGACATTTTCCATCCAATTAACGATTCCCTGACGGCTGTATTTGTCAACCATTTAAATGTGAAAGCTAATGTTGAAGTGGGATTCTTGAAGTATTTTCCCAATAAATAGATAAATGGATCTTTATTTCCTCTGTAAGCATTCATATTTTATCATTAATGTATAATATTGGTTAGCTGTTGTTTTCGTTAAAGTTCATTTCCTTTATCTCATTCTAGTCAATCTTACTTTTTATGATAACTAATCGGGTTATCATAATCTGTAGCCAACAATAGTACCCACTTTTTACCACACCTATACCAGTACAATCAAAAAATTGGAGCCGGCGCTACTAGGACGTTAATACCAAAATACCATCTACCATAGACCTAATGTCGTTGTTGTTTTCCTTTTTGGAATATCCACACCAGTCCAATTATTTTTCCTAATTATCAAAAAACGTACATCACTTCATAAGATCATCTATCGTAAAGTATTCAAAATCTGTACATTTTCATCCGCTTTATTTTCAAATTTTTTTTATCCTCTATGAGATACAATTCTCACTGTTTTCATTCACTGATTTAATAAAATCTGGTTTCATAGAAGCTGCTACTAGTAAATAAACCCATTTCTTGACCAATGATATGCATACATACCTTTGGACATTTCCGCTGGTCACAAAATGGCTTCATTTGACTACTAGTTGGTTAACTATATCAATTTTTTTTACCTAATTCTCAGTTAGTTGTCGTTAAACATTTAGAAAATATGTAAGTAGTGTCGAGAATGCTTTAAATCAATATCTTATCGTTTTCGATTTACTTAAGTACTTCTTACATGTGATACCTGGTGACTTTCAAGTTCAAAACGTGCAATAAATCTCATCCCTTTGCTAATACTACATAAAATTGGTATTAATTAACAGTGTCTTTTACTTTACTGCCCACTGTACCTAGAATTAAAGCTGATTGAAATTAATATGATTAAAGAAACATAGATTAAGCACTGCCTCATGTTTAGATAAGTATGAAAACTCATTTGTCCCATTTGAAACTAAATTTTAACAACCTTGAAGAACTTCAAAGTAAGGCATTAAATTCCTTCAAAATTTTATGTAATAAACTTTCAATGACAGGGTTTAGAAAGCGAAGATAACCTCACCAATTCTCATTAGTTTAGATAAAATATCTCATTTTGGCCACCCAAGGTCACTAATCTTAACACCGAAGACTTTGAGGGTGTTCACCATCAAATGTTAAGACAGTTTGTTCGATTTTTTTTTGTAGTTCTCGAAGTGAAATGTTTCTTAGCGAAACTTAACAATATTGAAAAATAATTTATATGGTGTACTTGGAAACGGTTTATTAATCTAAACTGTCATTGAATTGTTATGTAGGCAGCTGATTTTATCCTTCCCAATCTAATAATTGTTTAAATGAAGCGTATATGTGTAAGATTCACAAATTAAAAATACAATACTAATTATAATTTCATTGTACAAGTTAGTTTAGTGCTTATATTTAAAAACTTGTATATTTATATACTTTCGTTTATCAGATGTCAGCCCTATGTGCAAGTGTTTGGCCGAAACCTATATCCTTAATTCCTTGTTTGTCTTGGACTTCAGCATCATGCGTGTTTGTAGAGGTTAGTTATGTAAAACTTTGTGTTTTGAAATTTTCATTACATATGTTATTGTATGTTGGAACTTAGTGGTCCATGTATCCAAATCACGCTCATATACATTCAAACTCAAAACAGCCTGATTTAAGTTAGGTGAACTGTATGGTGTAATCAATTGAGACACAAAACGTACAACTATTATAACGACCTAAAAATTTATATTCAATTTATATTCAAATTCATCTTTAACATGTACAAAAGCTAAGAAAAAGAGAAATATAAATATAGTTAGCTACGAACTTTAGGTTTCTTTAATAGTAGTTACACAACACACTGATTAGAATTTATTGTATATAAACTCTAGTGGACTTAAAGACTGTTTTCTTCATATAATACTCAAGTTTTACAACTGTTGAGTTTCTTTAGGAATACAGTTTTCGCTTGAAAATTACCTGATTAATGTAATTTGATTTTACCATACTTTGAGAAATTGTTGCTTCTATCGAAGCATTTGTTTTTATTCAAAAGCAAATGGACTCAATCTCAAATGAATACTTCCAGGTATAATTAATTAAAATAGTACAAATGATCATACGGTTATACATCAATCCAGTTCATTACATAGCAATTTATAAACAGAAAATATGCTTAAAAGAAAGCCTAATATTTGTTTTCAGAATTAGTTTAGTCTGATATCCAGTCATCTGCCCAGGCAAGATATTCAATAAGATAGATGATCTACACTATTAACTTTGACTTCAGTGTGTCATTTCCCAGTTAGTTACCTACTTCGCTTAGTTTAGAGTTTGGCATTAAAAATCTACATTTTCTGATACATTTAACATTATGATTTACTGTTTGTTTTATTCATTTATCTGTTACGATGATACATGGATTTTTAAACTATCCAGTTAGTACAACAACTATCTCATAAGCATAACATTACATCGAGTCCAAACATTTTTTAGTCTATATTTAAAGAGCACATGAGTGTGTTACGTAACGGCTGTTTTGATTCTCTTCGCATATGTTTAAAAAAGATTACTAGTTTTTCTTTTACCATTGTGTTTGTTATTGTTGTTAATATTTGTGCAGTTAATATAAACCGATAAATCTCAAGGATAATTTTTCTATCATTGACAATATTTTCACTCTGGAATAATCCATTAAAACGAATAAAATGTTTCATATTAATAAAGTACCTGTAAACCTTATTCACTGGATAAACCAACTTTTGCAATCCAATATTTTGTATTCAGTTGTATCGTGAAATTTTAATTTTCAATATTAATTTATTAATATGATAATCAGATTTCTAACCTTGCTATTATGCATACTTGTACACTAGTTATTATATGAAATACTTTTTGTACTAATAAAAACTGATAATTTAAATCATATATATATATATATATATATATATATATATATATATATATATATATATATATGTATATGTATATATATATATATATATATATATATATATATAATCTAAACAATTTGTAGTTATTTAGTACGAAAAAGCTTATTCCATGGTTAAATGCGATCGATAGAGGACTGACTAGCGATGTCCTTTTTTGGGTTTACTTTTTATTCGGTACAAACACGTATCTAGTCACTGATATATTCTAATATCTTTCTCTCTTATTCTTTTCTCGTATAATGATAGGGTGTTCTATCGAACGCAGTAGATTGGTCTGCATTGACAAAACAGTACTACTCTGATTCAGTATACGCTGATGTAATTCGACCTCAAATCCAGCCTCCTGTCCCAGAATTCTGTAAAACGTCAGGTGAAAACTGTAGTGATTGTTTAGGTAAGAAATTGTTTGATTTCTAGTTTGTAACATGGTCGTCTAATTATATTTTATTACCTAAATACTGTTACACTATGATTTTCAGAATTTCTGTTTACTACTCGTAAATCATGAAAGTGTATTAGTTAAATTGTTTGAAATGTTATTATTTACCCATTCTAAACTATCGACCACTTTCGTATGTAGCATTGATTAGAATATAATCAATGAAAATATGTCTAAATTGGCAAACTAAAACATAGTGCCTAATTGTCAAATCTTTGATTGTTGTCTCTAGTTTATTTGGAATTTTTATGCATATTATACTTCAAAAAGTGTATACTGCAGTCTGGTTTGTTCTCTTCCACAGTAGGTTGTTGTTGATGGTGTCTAGCGAACGGATCCTCAGTATCTTGCGAAGACAACCATTTATAAATACATGTGTGTTTTGGATTATGGCTGTTGTAATTCTTCGAGTTTCCGCTCAGTATATTCGTATTAAGGATTCCAGCTTTCGTGCTCATTAGCGATTGTTTTGAGTTCCAGATGTTCTTCAATTGAAGAAATGCTACCTTTTCCTCGCTAATTCATGTCTTCACATCTGCATCAAATTCACCTTGTTTGTCAATGTTGCTGCCCAGATATGTAAAGGTTTATACATCCTTCAAAGCTCATCGGTCAAGTGTGATTTGGTTGCTGCTTGTTTTGTTATATCGGAGATTCTTGCCTACTCTCGTGTATGTTGAGACCTACTGCTACTAAGGCTGCTGCTACTATGATTGTCTTTTCCTGCATTTGTTGTTGCGTGTGGTATAAAAGAGCAAGATCACCTGCAAAGTCTGCGTCGTCCAGCTGCATCCTGGCTGTCCACTGTATTCTGTGGTTCCACCCAGATGCTGACGTCTTCATAGTCCAACTGACCACCAGCAGGAAGAAGAAATGTAAAAGTAAGCAACTTTACCCGACACCCGACGTTACTGCAAACGGGTCTGAGAACTGTTCTCCATACATGATTTTGCAATTTAGTCGCTCAGAAAAATTCCGTATGATGTTGACTACCTTCTCAGGCACACCATAGTGTCAAACAAGCCTCCATAATGTTGTCCTTCCAACGCTATCAAATGATTTCACGTAGTCACTGAAGTTGATGTAGAGTGGTGAGTTCCATTTAATTGATTGTTCCGAAATGATCCGTAACGTTGCAATTCGGTCAGTACACGATCGATGTTTACGGAATCCAACCTTTTGATCTCGAAATTGGGCGTCTACGAGGTTTTTCATTCTGTTTAACAATACCCTGTTGAAGACTTTGCCTGGTATTGAGAAGAGGGCGATACCTCTGTAGTTCTTACACTTGCTGAGATCTTCTTTCTTTAGTATCTTGATCAGGTGTTCTTCCTTCCAGTCTGTTAGTATTAGTTCTTCCTCCCAGATCTTCCTGGAGAGTGCGTGACCTGTCGTTGTAGTTACAGCTATGTCTGCTTTCAATACCTCAGCTGGCACGTTTTCTTTGCTTTGCCGCTCTCTTGATTTTTCTAACGGCCACACTGATTTCTTCAGTTGTTGGTAGCTGCTGCAGCGATGCTGCCCTGCGTTACCGGCTTCAAGCAGTTTTTCCTTAGGCTCTGTGGTCACGTTCCCAGGTCGCTAAGACCTTCTCTAATCCAATTTCCTCAAAAAATACCTATCCACGATGTAGACAACGGGAAAGTGATATCCGCCATCATACCCGTAAGAGCACATGAGACTGAATTGGTTATTATGAAGTCCTTCCTACACCTCTTAAGAACTCTTATCTCCACGACCAACCTTTCTTTCATCCCCTCATCACCTGGCACCGCTGATGCAAACGATTGGAATACACGAAAAGTTATTCTTGGTCTGAATCCACACTGCAAACTACATGTTGGAGGTTTTAATTTCCGCACCTTGTGCCAAATAGGACAAGAAGCTTCTTAAGCGAGGACTCTGAAAGTTCGTGCCATCGATGCATGCTGCGTGCCATTCATTTGCCCTCACCATGCCAAGATAAAGAATCGTCGTGATTTACGCACTGTGTATCTGGGAGCCACACTTTGCTTAGTTTGGCCTCTCTAGTACAGATATAATAATGAGTCAGTCAGTCAGTTACAAGGTAGAACTTCTTACGTATGTACATCGGTTCACCTTACCATACCACGGTGGCGCAGGGATGCAATTGTCGATTCAGATCCCATAGTAATAGAGGTAATAAAACTATGAGCAGTAATCAGGAAAACTACAATCCGAAGATATTATTCAAAAAGTATAATCCAGTGCAATAGATTTGAGAGGAGAAAAGTGAAGGTCGTAAGGAGTTTATATTAGAATTCGGGAGAACACAATGGATGCACCTATACCATTGCGAAGGATTTTGAGCTATATTATTCGAAGTCTCTAACCATTCGTTACTATCGTCTCATGAAACCCAACCAGGTAGTCTTCACCTACGAACATGGCTCAGTCCAGTTATTAGTTCAGACTTATCAAGGAAACTGGAATTAGCAATCCAACTATTAGCGAAACTATCTCAAAAAAGGATGGGCTTAGTATTCATTCTCTATCCAAGAGATTGAATCGATAGGCAGAACACTTTAGGGATCAGTTCGATTGGCCTTCGGCCACACTTCGGTCGCCCACGATCTGCAGTCAACCTGAATGAAGTTGAAAAAGCTATAGGAAATCCGAAGCCACGGAGAGCATCAGGTCCTCACAGGCTTACCCCTGAGATTTTTAAGGATGATGGTCCGGTTTTATCAGTTAGACTGACTGACATTTTACGTAAAATCTGGGAACTGGACGTAATCCGATCTGACTGGTCGCAATCGCTGATTGTCCCAGTGTATAAGAAAGGACAAAAGTCCTCTTGTGACAATCACAGCGAAATCAGTTTAACTAATATTTTGTCTAAGATATTGGCCTCAACAATACTTCTGATATGTTCGTCACTTAGTATGCTTGAGGCTATTACGAGTTTACCTTAGTCGATAAACGCGAACGAGACTTTTACCAGCTTCCAGGAAGGCTACCCTGAATCCAAACGGTAAAACAGAAGTCTTGGTAAGCGTAGAAAGTATATTCTACAAGCACCCAGCAATCCCAGTACAATCAAGCATACAACTCTCGTTTATTTATACAACATAACAACGTCCTTGAGACAGTTAAGAAAATAGCATACTAAAATACACAGCAGCCAATCACAGCCATTGATTTTCCTGGTGGGAATTGAAATCTCAAGGTCATTTGATCAGCCCCTGCTGGCGAACGTGAAAACCGAAATACGGCATTATCAAGCGAATTTTGGGGATCTACATCCCCAACACTCCTCCCCTTTTTAATAGCTTGTTCTCCTGGGGTCGACTTGCATCTTGATTATTGTTCGCCGCTGTCTGAGGGGATACCTTCGGGAACGAAGAACAGCTTGCTGCTGAGTTTCTTCTCGTGGCGGGGCTCTTGGTAGGTTGAAGGTATCAAGCAAGATGTCAAGGGGAAGGCTTTCTGCTCTTGATGGGCGATCTGGGGCTAGCCGTCTGCGTATCTGATTGCGATGACGTGACCATTTATCACCTCCTACCTCTACTTCGTACATAACTCGACCAACCCTTCTGACCACTCTCGCTTCTACCCAAGGACCATGGTTCGTTCTGTAGTCGCGGGCAAACACAGGGCATCCCACCTCGTAAGCGGATTGTCTTTGCTGCTTTGTCTCGTTTATTTATACAACATAACAACGTCCTTGAGACAGTTAAGAAAATAGCATACTAAAATACACAGCAGCCAATCACAGCCATTGATTTTCCTGGTGGGAATTGAAATCTCAAGGTCATTTGATCAGCCCCTGATGGCGAACGTGAAAACCGAAATACGGCATTATCAAGCGAATTTTGGGGATCTACATCCCCAACAACTTCAACACCTAATCAAAGCTCACGTAGAATGGACTAGAAAAAATCAAGTTGGTTTCAGACCAAGATGTGGCTGTATAGACCAGATATTCTAGAACATAGACACACATTTTAGCATTTTATAGTAGACGTATTCCTCGATCTTTAGGCGGGATTCGATCTTATTGTTCCTGAGATTCTACGTTAGTGTCCGTCATTGAAAGGTGTACCAATGAAGTACATTAGGTTTACACAGGCTCTCAACTGGAACACTACTGGTCGAGTGAGAGCTTATGGCAAACTGTCATCGGAAGTGACTACCTCAAGTAGTGTTCTTCAGGGCTGTCCACTTTCTCCCTTACCTAACTTTGTCATGTACAAGACTTCTGTTTTACCGTTGGATTCAAGGTAGCCTTCCTGGAAGCTGGTAAAAGTCTCGTTCGCGTTTATCGACTAAGGTAAACTCGTAATAGCATCAAGCATACCAAGTGACGAACATATCAGTGGCGACGGGGCTCACAATTCACAATGTCAATTAATCTTGAACAGTTAGAATCTTTACTGGAACGTCAAGGTAAACGATATGAACAGTTCCAGGAACGTATGTTGGAGCTGTTAATGAAACAAATGAATTTGAACCCACGAGATTGTCCGTTTTCTGAGACTGTTCAGACTTTAAGCCAACACTTTGGAGACAACTCGTCACTATTTAATACTCGTTATCGATGTTTGAAGCTTATTATGAACGAAGATGATGATTTTCTTACACACGTGGGCATCGTCAACCGTGAATGCGAACGCTTTCGGTTGAAGTCTTTGTCGGAAGACCAGTTCAAAGCCCTTATACTCATCTGCAGCCTCCAGTCGAGTAAGTTCAGTGACATTAGAACAAGGCTACTATGTCGGTTGGAGCAAGATCCAAAGCTTACGCTTAATGATATGGCTCATGAGTACCAACGTCTCACTAACCTACAACGAGACTCGACTATAGTTCAGAGTGGTAGTTCAAGCCGATCTGAAATTCATTTGGTACAGCAGCCACCTAATCATTATAAGTCTGCCGGTGCTACACCCAGTTCACCCCGCTCCAATTCGGCCCAAAAACCCAAAATGAATCCACCTTCTACTTGCTGGCACTGCGGTTCATGGCACTATGTACGGAACTGCCCATTTAGGCAGCATAGATGCAGGAAGTGTAAAGTCATCGGTCATAAAGATGGCTTTTGCCTACAGAAAAAGCCAAAGCGATACAGAAGTGCTAAGAAGCCTGTTCCTAGATCCAGTACCAATGCATTGAGCCTAATATCTTCCTGCCAAAGCTCATCACCAGGTGAGAGGAAATTTATTACTCTTAATATTAACGGTTATTTGTGTAGAATGCAAATAGATACTGCATCTGATGTCACTATCCTCTCACGCAAAAATTGGACCAAATTGGGCAGCCCAAGCCTGCAGTACACAACACAAAAGCCTCGTACAGCATGTGGTAATTATCTTCGTCTGTTAGGACAATTGGAATGTAAAGTTGCTTTCCGAGATTCGTCGTTTACTGGGGTATGCTATATAACGCCAGCTGATCTAAATTTACTTGGTTTAGATTGGTTCGACCAGCTAAAATTGGCTGATGTCCCGCTAAATACCATATGCAACCTGGTATCACAACGACATGACCCAGAAGCGTATACGAAGGCGGCTGAGGAAAACATGGTGATCGCATCCCTGTCAGTAGAAGACCACGCAGAATGTGATCTGACAACCGCAGTTCGCGCATTACCGGTGTCTGCAACAGACATACAAAATGCTTCTGGAAACGACCCCATCATCAAGATGACGATGAAATATGTCACTAACGGTTGGCCGTCGAAAAAGTTTGAAGGTGACATGAAGCAACTGTATCAGCGGCGGGAGTCACTATGCATCGTCAACGATTGTCTGATGTTTGGTGGAAGAGTAGTGGTGCCAGCATCCCTTCGTGCAAAAGTGCTGAGACAGTTCAATCTTGGTCATCCTGGAATTAAACGAATGAAGTCCATAGCCAGAAGTTATGCATACTGGCCTCACATGGATCAACATGTCACAGCGTTGGTTGAAAAATGCATGCGGTGTCAACAGGCGGCAAAGATGAATGTCAAAATTCCGCCGGTTTCATGGCCCAAACCTGAGCATCCTTGGTCCAGGATACATGTCGACTTCGCTGGCCCAATAAATGGAACTATGTATTTAATTGTCGTCGACGCCTTTTCTAAATGGCCGGAAATCAGCCCCGTTATGCCGCCCACTACAACTAAGACTATACAGCTCCTAACTGAGATTTTCTCACGAAATGGCATACCAGATGTGATCGTATCCGACAATGGCTCTCAATTCACCTCTTCCCAATTCCAGAATTTCTGTCAACGGCTAGCTATTAAACACTTACGCTCGCCACCATACCACCCGCAATCGAATGGGCAGGCGGAAAGGTTTGTGGATACGTTTAAAAGAGCACTGCTCAAGTCAAAAGGGGAGGGGACGCCAGCCGAAACGTTACAAAATTTCTTGTACGTCTATCGGACAACACCAAATGAATTGTTACCGGAGCAAAAGTCCCCAGCTGAAATCCTGATGGGAAGAAGATTGAAAACGATCCACAGCCTGATGCATCCGACCAATGCACCCTCATCAGTAGGGACAAAGCAGCAAAGACAATCCGCTTACGAGGTGGGATGCCCTGTGTTTGCCCGCGACTACAGAACGAACCATGGTCCTTGGGTAGAAGCGAGAGTGGTCAGAAGGGTTGATCGAGTTATGTACGAAGTAGAGGTAGGAGGTGATAAATGGTCACGTCATCGCAATCAGATACGCAGACGGCTAGCCCCAGATCGCCCATCAAGAACAGAAAGCCTTCCCCTTGACATCCTGCTTGATACCTTCAACCTACCGAGAGCCCCGCCGCGAGAAGAAACTCATCAGCAAGCTGTTCTTCGTTCCCGAAGGTATCCCCTCAGACAGCGGCGAACAATAATCAAGATGCAAGTCGACCCCAGGAGAACAAGCTATTAAAAAGGGGAGGAGTGTTGGGGATGGTAGATCCCCAAAATTCGCTTGATAATGCCGTATTTCGGTTTTCACGTTCGCCAGCAGGGGCTGATCAAATGACCTTGAGATTTCAATTCCCACCAGGAAAATCAATGGCTGTGATTGGCTGCTGTGTATTTTAGTATGCTATTTTCTTAACTGTCTCAAGGACGTTGTTATGTTGTATAAATAAACGAGAGTTGTATGCTTGATTGTACTGGGATTGCTGGGTGCTTGTAGAATATACTTTCTACGCTTACCAAGACTTCTGTTTTACCGTTTGGATTCAAGGTAGCCTTCCTGGAAGCTGGTAAAAGTATCGTTCGTGTTTATCGACTAAGGTAAACTCGTAATAGCATCAAGCATACCAAGTGACGAACTTATCAGTTATCCCGTGTTTCCTTCTCTTCTCCTCTCTTTGTTTCTGCTATCGTCCACGTTATTGTTTCTAATTTTCCGCCTCACTTCCTTGTTTGCTTCTGTATGTTGGGTTTGTACCCTTGGCTTTCTCTGATCTTGTTTGGCTGTTACTGACTGGTGTGTTCCTTTTCCTTCTTGAATCTTATCCAGTGTATCGACAGTGATCCATTCCTTGTGATGGTACTTCACGTGGCCTGAAACATCATGACATGTTTAAATTAATTATCCTATGATTCTCATTCAGTTGTTCGCCACGGTAGTCTCCTCTTCATTTAGTAGATCGTCAAAGGTCTCAACATACACAAAGGAAAAGGCAAGATCCTACGATGCAACACAACATAAACCAACCAAACAACATTTGACGGAGAAACCTTGGGGGATGTAGACACCTTTACATATCTGAGCAACATCATTGACAAGCATAGTGAATTTGATGCAAATGTGAAGACATGGATTAGCGAGGAAAAGGTAGCATTTCTTCAATTGAAGAACGTCTGGAACTGAACACAACTATCAACCTACACCAGAGTCAAAATTCTCAATACAAATGTCAAAACAGTTCTGCTGTACGGAGCGGAATCTTAGAGAACCACGCAAGCCATCACCTGGGAGATACAAGTATTTCTACACAGTCCTCTACACAAGATACTGAGGATCTGTCTACTAGACGCCATCAATAGCAACCTTCTGTTGGAACGGACGAACCAGCTTCCAGCAGACGAAGAAATCAGGAAGAAGCGTTGGAGTTGGATCGGAGGCACATTCTGGAGATCACTAAACTGTATCACAAGACAAGCCTTTACTTGGAATCGTCAAAGCTAGAGGAAAAGAGAAACACCAAAAAACACTTTACGCTGAGTGCTTGAGACAGACATGAGAAGAGTGAATACCATTTGGAAAGAACTTGAAAATAAGGCCCGGGACAGAGTAGGTTAGAGAATGCTGCTCTGCTGCCTGTACCCCACTGGGGGTTATAGGCGTAAGTAAAGTAAGTAAATTAATCGAAAGAATATGTTTGTCACACTTAACAAAAGTCCACACCCATCACCCGGGCAAAAATTCATCATGAATCGATAAGATAATTGTTGATTTTAATAGTGTCTTATTTGTATCCCGTCGTAACAGGTAATTAGTTGAGTAGTTACCATTACACTACTAATCTATGGCTAAACTCGTATTAGGCTCTAGGATAGTTATAGAAGTATAAATATTTACTAGTGTTTCGTAGCTTTATGTGATAAGTCTTTCATCAACTTTCCCTAACTCTACTTTTTATGCTTTTGCAGGTGATAATTTACAAAATTCACTCAAAACACTCGATTCACCGAACTTTTTACATTCCGACCATCCAACTCCTGTAAATGTAGCTCCTTTGGTTAAATTATCAGAACAATCTGATTCACAGTCACATAATATCAACATACATACTTTCAAATCATCAGGCTCCAATTTTCAGGTTTATGAAGACTCATCATCTCAGTTTGATAAAATATCAAATTCAACAACTTCCCAGTTATCGCCATCTCATTCTAATACACACAAATTTAGTGTTGGTCAAAAGTTTTTTCCTAGCGATTTGTAAGTGAATATGAAGTTTTGATTCATTTAATTTGTTTGCTCAATGTTGTGATTACTTACTGGTTCAGACTACTCACAACTTACTCACTGAAGTTATTTCACATTATAATCATTTATCCATGCTAAGTCATCACTTAGTCACTTCATAAACGACTGAGAATTCAATAAAAGTAAGCATTGGTTCAGGTTGTAGAATTCCAGATTAGCGCATCGAATATAAAATTAAAAGTAGGAAACTGTTGTAACGCTGCTACGTATAGCTCTTCAGTCCTAGCGGCGTCCAATTCAAATATCCCAATACGACCCAAAATGCTATTCCCAAATCTCCTAGATATCAGAGCGCAAAACCGTGGAATGGAGTTTTTTATTGGGTCGAATACAGAAGAGAGGTATGCAGGGGAAACGGAATTGGAATCCGAATCGGAATTATTAAGTCTTTCAGATAGTGCGTATTTATACATTAAGGTCGAATAAGAAAGAGCATCAACGTCTGTGACATTAACAGTTTAGGACGACCAATAGAAAAGAACATTTGAATGACATTGATAGTCCAGATGACCAATAAGAGGCAACATTGAAGTATTCGACTTTGACAGTTAGAACGATCATAATTTTGACCAATAGAAATCGACCAGTGGGATTGTACTTCTAAAAATAGTATTTTTAGGATATTTGGTGAATATCCTAACAGACACGAAAGCAGTTTCAGTATTAATGTCGATGATAGCTGTTGTGACGTCATTTAAAAATATCCGTTTAAACATTATAAATCAGTATTCAATAAATTGATAAGTTTTTCTCGATCCTTCTTAGAAAGTTACATCAGTATAATACTTAACTGATTGGCTTTTTTTATTGATTAAGGAACGAAACAACCAATTATCCGTCGTTAATTACACTTCTATGATTGAGAAAGATCCTTAATGTGTAATTAATTATCTACGTATTGAAATTTCAAAGAGTTAACATTTTTAGTTACTACTTTCATATTTCAGATACATAGGTCTTCCGAATTATTTGTCTTCATTCAATTTCGATGCAATTTTTCGTTATACATGGAATAGTTCTCGATGGTATAAGCAAATCTCATTGCCAAGTGTTTCTTTACCAAGTATTAGTCTTCCGCGTACGGACGCACCAAGAGATCCAGAAGTTCAACAATTTCTACGTGATCTACTAGACTATTTTACTCATTTAGGAAACTTTTCTCCAGTAGTAGATTCTCGACTTGTTCTATCAGTTGCAGCGGAATACGATGCATATGTTCCAAGAGGCAGCGTTTGTTCACTAGAAAAAGTATATCCTAATGGTGAAATTCGTGTTTTGCCTCATTCTGGTCATGTTGGCGCTTATGTAAAAAATTCCCTATGGACAAATGATTTCAGGTAACTTTTATGTGAAGTGTATTTTACTACTTAATTAACTAAAAGTAACCATACATTAAGTGTTGTGTTCCATGAAGAGATGATAAGTCTATGCAACACCTCTGGAATATAAATGTTAGTCTTAATCATAATTATCTATAGGTGAAAAAGTTTGATTTAACTAACACTTTTTATTAATTTTAGTGTTAAAGACAATGCGGCGGAGAAAATTCTCCTTCCTATGATACTATTTACCCTAAGCCACATAATCGTATTTATAGTGAATTTACAAATACTAATAGTCTTTTGAAAAGCAGTAACACAATCACATCAAAGAAGGTTGGTTAACATTTAAGAATTAAAGACATATGATAAGCTGAAATCAAATTATTACTTGAGAAATTTAATTGTTTAGGCCATAGAAGAATGATGGCTTGCACGTAGTCTCTGTTGCACAGAGTTCAAGTTTGAGAAGATAATAATTTGCACTTATGTCTCATTAATTGTTCGAGATAAATTTAAGTCAATAGAACGAGACGGAAGCTTAAATCAAGGGAGAATTAATGTGCTCGGAGTTTGCAACGAAATTTCCACAAGTGTAGCTCCCATACAATTTTATATAGTTGTCGTCCGGGAAAGTTCCTTCTTGCTTTTCTGTATCAATAAATAGACATATTTCCTACCAATCATGTTACTCTCACATTTGTGTACAACGGTAATTTTTTCTTTTAGTCTTATTCATAAACCCCGTTGAACTCCTTATCGTACAAGTATTGCTCGTGTATACTTGGACAACCGAGTAAGCAATGCTGTCGTTAGGAAACAAGTACTAGGTAGGGATGGCAAATCAATTGATGAGGTACTGAATCTTTATCAGTTGAGGTGGTTGGGACGTGTTACGTATGCCTAACCGCCGACTGCCTAGATGAGCGATGTTTTGTGGTATAGGAGTAGGTTGGAAGAAAGCTAGGGGCGGCCAAACCAAAACATGGCAGAAATCCAATAAGTCACTGACAACTGGGCTGAGCCATGCTAATAAGTGTAGACTAGCTGGTTGGGGTCCACGAGACAATAGTAATCGGTGGTTAGAGACCTTGGACGACTTGGCTCAAAATCGTATTACAATGTTGCAGGTGCATCCATTCTTTGTGTTCTCCTAAATTCTAATCTGAATTCCTCATGACCTTCATCTTTCTCATATTTAAATTTATTTCTCTGGATTATAGTGCTTGAACGATTTCTTCAAACCGTAATCTTTTGCATCACTGTACTATTGTGGTCTAGCGTGTGTAGGTACGTACGAAGTTCTGCGTTTTTGCTGACTGACTGACCTCATCGTACATCTCAATAGATATTAACCCATCCAATCTATCAACCTATTCTGCTTTCAATAATTATAGCTGTGCTTAAGAGGTTATTCGTTTAATTTTCATTCATTAAACTTCAGGATCAAAGTTTTCTGTTCTTAATTCACTGTAGACAATTAGTTAGGTTTTTCCACATGTTATAAAAGTTACTCCATGTGTAGGTTTCAATGAAATATTTTTCATTACAATTATTTTATATTTTTTTCAACTTCATTTGTAGAACAGCAATAAGTGATTGTTTAAATCTGCAAGTGCATTTATATCATCATGAACCGGGACCATTTGGACGAATTAACATATCTCGTAAGAATATTCAACTTATTAAACTCTTAAAACGTTAACTTCCATGTAAATTTACCATGTTGTATAGATAAAATATTACGCGTTGACTTATGCTATTTATTATTTCTTAATTGGTCGTTTCATGCTTTTCTTTCTGTTTTCTATAAACTGATTTATCAATAACTTATTTGCTGCTTCACTACTCCATTGCTATTCATAGATGATACACAGTTTATAAATATTATTTTACTTTTTTTTGGTTAATATGCCCATTGAAATAAATTTTTCTGTTTCTTTTATTTTTTATATTTATTTGTATAAGAAATCTGAGATGTGGTGTGGTATAGGAGGTAGTTCTGATTGTTTTTCTCTGTATATATTCATAAAATTGTAGAAAAAATATTATTGTTAGTATAAGTAACTCATCAAGCAGTCAGTCAGTTGCAACGTAGAACTTCGTACGTATGTATACAAGTTCATGTTGCCATACCACATGAGCACAGTGACGCAAATGTCAAATCAAATCCGATAGTGATAAAGATAGTAGAGATATTAATAATGGTAATGAAGAAGACTAGGGTTTGAAGATATTATTCAAGAAGTATAATTCAGTGAGATAAGGTTAGAAAGACAAAGGTAGAGATGCTGACGATTCCAGAAGATTAGGATTTGAGAGAGCTCAAAGAATGGATGCACTTACGCCATTGCAAACGATTTTGAGCCATATCGTTCAAGGTCTCTAACAATTGGTGACTTTCGTCTCGCGGACCCCAACCAGGTGGTCTACGTCTACCAACATGACTCAGTCCACTTGTCAGTGACTTCACGGATTTCTGCCATGTTTTGGTCTGGCCGCCCCTAGGTTTCTTCCAACCTACTCCTACACCACAAAACATAGCTCGTCGAGGCAGTTGATGGTTAGGCATTCATAATATATGTCCCAACCACCTCAAATGATGAAGTTTTAGCACTTCATCTATTGATTTACCATCGTTACCTAGTACTCGTTTCCTAACGACAGCATTGCTTATTAGGTTGTCCCACGATATATGAGCAATGCTTCTAAGACATCTTCTACTCTTAACGGCCATGTTTCGCATCCATATAGGAGAACGGAGCAAACTGCTGCGCAGTACACCCGTCCTTTGGTTAGCGAACGGATATCTCGCCTAAGCCATAAACGGCGTAAATTGGCAAATGCAAATCGAGCTTTCTGTATCCGAGCTGAGATTTCGTGAGTCACCAGGCTATCAGCGCTGACGAGACTCCCAGATAAGTGAAGTGATCAACACGCTCGACTACTTCACTCCCTATCACTAGTTCCGGTGCTCATCATCAACCAAATAAAGGTTACATGTTTGAAATTATCAAAGTATTCCTTTAAATTAATTATTTGGCCAGTCAGCAGTGTCTCATTGCACATAAAATTATTTCAAGATTAGCACTGATAGAGTTTACGCGGATATGCTGATACACCAAAGTCTTTCAAGTGAAATTTGATTTTCGCTTTGATTCTCAAATATATTATTACAGTTTTCAATGGTTCTACCATTGTGCAGTGTTGTTTTAGATTCAAAAGAAATAAAAAATAAGAGTTACGTCACATCACAACTAACACGCAGATCTTAAGGAGCAAATAGTTTATTAGCTCGTCAACGTCATGGTTTGTACGTGACGTCATTTTTGAACGGATTATAACAGCTGTAAACTCACAGAACAATACGAACACACTCTTAAGCCTTTACATGTATCTTTTATAAACTTACTTCGTTAGTATCTCACAGTAAACCTGTGTTGTAAATTATTGATCGTGCTCCTAAAAATGGTGTATGCGTACACTATCAAAAAAATAATCTTGTTGTTGCACAAGTACTGTGTTAAGGCACAGAGTAGGCAGGAAATTCACGAAATAACAGTACTTTGAGACAAGACAATTTGAAGCTTTAAGGCATCAAACTTTGTTGCAGTGGAAAATATTTTGGTAGGAAAAGATGTACTTGACATCGGTTTGCGTTGGGAACTAATAGTGGTTCATGACTGCGTCTTCAGCTCGTAATATCTACAATGATTAACATTATTATCGTAACCATTAACACTCAGAGATTTTCAGTTTGTACTCTAGCAGTTTAGTAAAGATCAGTAATGATTTCAGGAAGTCCCATGTGAGCACAAATGAAAGCTTTGTATTTCTAATTGGAATTTGGAGCAAAATAACGCTATACAAAGGGATCACTGGTATATACAAACAGCACAATCACCAGCTTCAAGTGTTTGGAAGACCTGCTTTCATTTAGTTATTTACACTTAAGTATGAGGATTATGAACACCACAGAATGCAGACAATATGAATTGCAATCACTTATTGACAGACACAAATGGTACTTCTTAAGGTTGTGCAAAAGAATGTGCTATTTCCGGTTGAAATCCACGCCAATGGAGTCGTACTCACCTAACCAGGATATTTATTATTGATTGATGTTATCTATTTTCCTAACTTAATGGTCCCCAGCTCCATTTCACAACTCATCGTGATAACTAGAGGCTGTACTTGTTGCAGAAGATGCTGTTTAGGTCGAACTTGTGTCTCGCGCGCTTCAATAATATCATGCCATCGTTGACCTCCCACCATTTACAGGAAAAAATCCATTTCCGGACACCATATTAGGATATTTAATCGTTCCCGAGGACATAAAAGTTATCTCCATTCATTGGTAGACAATTTGAGTAACAATTAGGACCAGTTGGATCATTCCAAGTCAGAATCACTGTGCTGTAGGTCCAGCTGTCTCGAACAACTTCTCTCCTCCTAGTTCCTTCAGCAGTATACTTATATTTATTCAGTCACAAACACAGGACTTGTGGAAAAGTTATTGGATCCACACAAATTTGTTTACTAGGACTGTCAAATATAAAGTTACAATTTTGAGTGACTTTCAGGATCTATTATTGTGTAGTTTGTCTTCAGTACTATTATTTTCCTCCTTCTAAAACTACTATATCGCGTATTTTCCTCTTCCGTGATCTAGTTATTTCATCTTTAAATCTCTCAGGTATCATGTTAAGTAATGAGAATGCTACCACTTTTCGCACTATAACAACTAGGAAACCCAGTAGATGTGTGAATTCTGGTGTTAGTAATGAGTCGAAACTCCCAGTATTGAGCCACAGCTGTAAAAAACCTGAAATGTGACTTCATTAGTACCTTAGAGTAGTGTCAGAAATTCGGATCAGTTGACCAAAACACCTCAACTGTGTCTCCAACATAAAAACCGAGGAGGAACTGGTCAGATTCCTACTCCTAGAAAGACTCGTAGGCATAATAAGAACACGAGGAAAAGGGTACATAAGGCTCAGTCGACACAGTGTAGCCTCCTCGATACCATTAAACACCAGTGACTGTGCATATGAATGCAAATTTTGCAGCGGATGGGTTCATTGTCGCTCTGGCTTTGCTGTACCTAGACAGTACAATCAGTTCATTCTGAGACACCTTTGTTCTGGTATATTTGTCCTCATTGTCCTCAGTGTCCTCAATGAGACAAGTACAGCACAATCCTCTGAATGCACAACTTTGTTATCTTCTAAAATATTAGAACTTCGTTAAAGGAAAGCCCCTCCGATGAGGGTAACCTTAGACGGCACAGCTTGCCGAAGATATCTTTACAATCCAGAGACCGTAGGTTAAGTTGTTCTCCCCGATTAGTCTCCGGTTTGACAAACCGTGGTCAGAACGTCACAGAGCACACAAGAGCGAACCAGTATGGTAGTTCATGGCATGCCAGAAATGGTAGGAGGTAACTTAGACGTAGCTCAGGCACGTGATATGCATCACTATCTATGACTAACACGTAGCATTGGCCTTCAAACAAACATTTACTGGCTGCTCGTCACACCTTATAACTATTAATTCAACACGCCTGATGGCTGTGGAATTCGGAAATCGGGAAGACCAAACTGAGGCTCTTCGTGCTTGGTGCAGAATGAAGAACGATCTCTCTAGCTATATACGTTGTTGCGGAAGCCGACCTAGATCTGTGAGGCAACAAGAAGGAGACCGAAATGAGCGCACATAAATGACGGTTGGTATCTATCAACACATCTTAGCATTAGGTGATGAGATAAACCAATTGCCTATATAGTAACACAAGAGGACTAAGGGTTGAGCTGTTAGAAATCAGGAATACGTGCTCTCAGATGGATCTGAAGATAATAATCCTAACTGAAAACGGCTATTCCCTGACAATGCAGACAAAGAAGTGAGCTTGCCAGGCATGACATTCTTCCTAAGCGATAGAGTACACCAAACTATAGGCGGAGTAGCTATACATATAAAGAGCCACTTAAAAACCGAGATATATGCGCGGCCATACATAGAGGTTTACAAAGTCGTCACACCCGCTCTCCTTAGAAGAGCCATAAATCTCTTGTGTCGAGTGCAGATTCGAGCAACGAAATGGGTGGTAGGATTAAAACATGAAAGTTACTCCAGAATTTGGTATTATTTCCCCGGAATTACAGGGGACTGAGGTGATTTTGTGCAACATATTCAGCATGCTTAACCATCGCAACGTGAGCATCTTACCGATGCATCACCACGTTTCCTCGAAAAAATGCGCATCATAGAGCGAACACTTAGTTTCGTTCACACTTTTTCTCACTAACAGTTGTTGCAACTTGGAATGCTCTATCAGATGAGATGACCATGCCATCCTCTGTGGATAGCTTCAAGAAGAGACTTGATAAACATGTACTTTCATACGGATTATCATCTCCCTCTTTGACATGCTATGCCTGATGCATGCCCTGAGACTTGCTAGTTGTTGTCATTGCCATCCCCTCAGGTCAACAGATTCATATATTTCGCATATTATCTCTGTTTCCTCCCCCTTTTTTACATTTCGGTCCTCTCACACAATCTTCACTACCAATTAATAAACTAAATTGTCCATTTATTTACTTAGTTCTGAAATCTTATTCATATTAGCATTGCAATTTTCTCCTCATTATTCTCCATATTTCAGCTAACTGATCTCCGGTCTGGTAATGTGATAGCTACTGTTATCCAGAAACCCCACTACCCTGAAACAAACCTAGTCATTTGGATCACAGGGCATATGAACACTCAAACAACTGCCGACAGACTAGAATTAGACAGTCGAGGGACTAGAACTCTATCCATCGGACACTACCAAATACCTGCAGGTTATGACTTACTCCCAATTCTTATGACAAAATGTCAAATTTACTGGTATAAGATTCAGTATTACTAGTTGCCATATTCGGTGAGCAACTCAAGTTAAGAGTTTATTTTGAGCTTACTGCTTTTATGTACGTTATTTATTTCGGTTCACTCTAATATGTACGTTCAGCAGTTAGTCTCAGATGATAATGCTGAGCACTGTTCTGTGTGCTGATGATATACATTATTAAGTTAGAGTTTCTTTTAGTTAAAATTGTACGCAGAAGCGTGGTACATCCCTAGTGACTGTAATAGCCAGAGGAGAAAATTCCCTTTCTTTAAAGTAAAAAAGGACAACGGACTTTAGGTTTCTATTTTATCATTATTATAGATAACCAAACCCTCATAAAATGTGTTTGAGTGTCTTATCAATACCAAAAGTTGTGAATCCTTTAAATGTAGTGATTGGGTTCCGCAATAAAAGCAGACAACTGCAGTGGTATGTATACATGAATCTTCTCTTACGGATGATTTACTGACACAGTTTCAGGACTAACAACGATATCAAAGTTTTTAGTTTTGCTTAAGTAGTGGAAATGTGTCATAATTGATCTATTTTGGCTAACCCGTTGATGTTTTTATCTTATGGATATCCTGTAGCTAAATAAACATGCCATCCAACTCACTTGTTCTTTTACCATATGGAAACGCTACTTAATGTCGTGTTGGCAGGTGGCCAGGATATCTAGACTGCCTGTGAAATATTTTCCGTCAGTCTTGCTGTGAGAAATGATCCACTGTTATTTTTCACTTCAGAGTGTTGCCTAATTCAATTTTGTTTCTTCTCACCAGTGTAAATAATAGCTATTACTCAGTTAGAAATTTTCATTCATTCCATAAAACCACTGAGTAATAGCTTTAGTATCGAACGATGATGATACCAAAGTCCTTCAAATAAAATCTTTCTCCATTTGGTTGGGGTCCATCTATCCTTACTTCTCTAGATAGTCCTTTAGTATGGTTAATGAGAACTAAGGTCTGTGTAAGCACCGGTTATAATTCTGTGAGTTTGCGTAGATTTAAGTTTGAAATATATTACTTTTTATAGGCCCCTCAGCTTATAAGAAACTGCTGTCTAGTTGTACTGCAACTGACAGCTAGAAACTATAAAATATCAATAGGATAATTTAATGCTCACACATCGAACTACTCCCCATAGAAGAAAGAAAGGTTAGGGTCATCATCTCAAATGGGTTTCGCAAGCAACTGAGATCAGCTATGTTGTAGAAGGGTTAGTATTAAGTATTAGAATAATTCTGACATTTTGAGTTTGAATTTCAGGTAAGGCTTACTATTCTCACTACAAGCGGATATCAGCTATCAGACAACGTTATGTTATTCCATTATTTGCAAACCTAAGCAACCTAAAGTTCAGATTTATAGTAACAGTTAGAAGTGAAGGATATTATCTAGCTTCTCTAAGCAATCTTACAAATACTTTAAATCACAGCAGATACTTTAACAGAAGATGTACTTTGAGAACAGCAACATTTTGTAATTTAACTTCAGGCGACGTGAACTTCTCGGTAGTAGTCATAGTTTTCTAACTCATACTATTCGTACTATCTAGATCAGATCATTGCTTGTAGGCTCATATTATTCAACCAAAGGTTTCATCTCATGCTCAAAGAGTAGTGAGACTTGGTGAAATCACTGTCCATAGAAGAAAGAGGACTTCGGAAATTATTTTTATCGCCTAATAGTATGGAAATAATTTTAGATACAATAGGATCTGATATTACTTTCTTCCAAGTACTTGAGGAAAACGCGGTAATAGTTTCTGGGGCAGTTATATATGAAATTGGATGGCGATAATAAATTAGCCTTTCAAGATAAGTATTTAGTGTAGGTTTAGTGTTATACGTGGGCTAGTAGGGTGGTGAAAATCTAAGTTTAGAATCAATTTCAGTTATCTGAATTATAAATTTACGTGTGACATGCCCTTATTTTTCCTATACTCTGGAAATAAGAATTTACAATGACTTTGAGTAAAGGTTCGCAATCTCATTAGACACCGCTTTTCAGCTGATTATCGACTCTGCCGTACAATACTCAATAATTGGAAGTCATTATCGAAACACGTGAATAAAGTCCACCTGTTGACAGATCTAACAGAAAGTTAAGTCAAACGAATTACAAAGCTAGTCACGACTGGAGTAAGATAAACAGCTTTCTGTCACATACAAAGTGAATCTAAACCTGCCTACAAAGTAACATTTCACCAGTAGCCACAACATTGTTGTACGTTAATGTGTAATATATATACATGTGAGAGAGTTGTTACAAACTGCAAAATATTCTGACGGGCTAGTGATACGTTCTAAACTTGTGACTAAAATGGCAGATTATTCCGTGGTTGTTTTAATATATCAGCTAGAAATATTTTCTCAAAGACCTGCAGCCCCGGTTGTTTCGTTATTCTCAGCTGTTTCTATAATTTCTGTGTAACTTCTTAATTGCCAGTTTTCAGACATCAATTAGAGTAAGTTCGGTGGTACAGCAATTATCGTGGCGTTTTCCTATCGAAACCCAAATATAAGGCATACCTATAAGTACGTATTTATGGGTTAGAAAACTGAAGGACAAAGAAATATTTAGTGTGATTGTTTGCCAACAATATTGAAAGTCTTTAATTTTCGACTAAACATTTTGAAGGGTTGCCGTGACACAAAAACAGGTCTTTCCCTGAGTAAAGTTACAAAATGATACCAATAATTTGCTACTCCATGCCATACTGTTTGTGTTTTGCAGTGGTCCAAAGTTTTTCATCTCTTCCAGAACTTCGTCACCAGGGAAATTTATGATAGATTTTGAGAAATGAGACAACCTAACCTCTCTGTCGGTCTGTAGTTTCTCCACAGGATCTTCCCTAACATTTAGAATAACCACAACCTTACCTTCAATCTAAACAGATCTAGCGGATTAGGATATCTATCGTGGTCTCGCTCGTATTTTCTTTCTCAGTTCTTCATATATGTTGGAAGAAAACCCATTAATTTCTTCACAACTGATGTAAACAGTTTTTATCAAGTTATAGTCCATGGAACAGAGTGAGTGGCTATTCGCAACAACTAAAAACGTTGCTCCATGTTTTCATTCTTCGGTCTTCATTAGAAAATTAAAATCCGACTTGTCGTTGACAGATAGATACATTTAAAGCACCAGTTTTCATGTAAGTCATGGTAGTAAACTATTAAATTGTTGAGCCAACTGCGAAAATATTTCACATTCTCTTCAAGAAGATTTGGGATGAGGAACAAGTACCATCAGATTGGAAAGAAGGATACCTCATCAAAATACCAAAGAAAGGCGATCTCAGCAAGTGTGAAAACTACAGAGGCATCACTCTTCTTTCAATACCAGGCAAAGTCTTCAACAGGGTATTGTTAAACAGAATGAAGGACTTCGTAGACGCCCAACTTCGAGATCAACAGGCTGGATTTCGTAAGGATCGATCATGTACTGACCAAATTGCTACATTACGGATCATTGTGGAACAATCAATTGAATGGAACTCACCACTCTACATCAACTTCATCGACTACGAGAAAGCATTCGATAGCGTGGATAGGAAAACACTGTGGAGGCTTCTTCGACACTACGGTGTGCCTGAGAAAATAGTCAACATCATACGGAATTCTTATGGTGGATTCAACTGCAAAATCGTACACGGAGGTCAGCTGACAGACTCTTTTGAGGTGAAGACCGGTGTGAGGCAAGGTTGCTTACTCTCACCCTTTCTCTTTCTCCTGGTCATCGACTGGATTATGAAGACGTCAACATCTGGAGGGAAGCACGGTATCAACTGGACAGTTAGGACGCAGCTGGACGATCTGGACTTCGCAGATGACCTGGCTCTTCTATCGCACACTCAACAACAAATGCAAGAGAAGACGACCAGTGTAGCAGCAGCCTCTGCAGCAGTAGGTCTCAACATACATAAAGGAAAAAGCAAAATTCTCCGATGCAACACAACATGCACCAACCGAATCACGCTTGATGGAGATAACTTGGAGGACGTTAACACCTTCACATATCTTGGCAGCATCATCGACGAGAAAGGTGGATCGGACGCAGATGTGAGGGCGCGGATTGGCAAAGCGAGGGCTGCATTTCTACAGTTGAAAAATATCTGGAACTCCAAACAACTTTCAAACAAAACCAAAATCAGGATCTTCAATACAAATGTCAAGACAGTTCTACTGTATGGAGCGGAAACATGGAGAACTACGAAAGCCATCATCCAGAAGATACAAGTGTTTATTAACAGTTGTCTACGCAAAATACTTCGTATTCGTTGGCCAGACACCATCAGCAACAACGAACTGTGGGAGAGAACAAGTCAGATTCCAATGGAGGAGGAAATCAGGAAGAAGCGGTGGAAGTGGATAGGACATACACTACGAAAAGCACCCAACTGCGTCACGAGACAAGCCCTCACATGGAACCCTCAAGGCAAAAGGAAAAGAGGAAGGCCAAGGAACACACTACGCCGAGAAATAGAGAAAGATATGAGAGGAATGAACAAACATTGGACAGAACTGGAGAGGGAAGCCCAGGACAGAGTTGGTTGGAGAAAACTGGTGGGCGGCCTATGCTCCATTGGGGGTAACAGGCGAAAGTAAGTAAGTAAGTAAGTTTATAAAATATCGCCGAGTGTATTAAAATAAATACTCAATACCATAGTCTATTTAATCTCGTTTGTTTTACTAGAAAATTTATACTCGGTCTATCCATGTATGTAGTACTACTTAAATCGGCTGGCGATCATGCCGCTAGCATCAATGATGACCCTTATGTGCAGGTAGGATATTTTCATGATTTTCTTGTTCCGCCTTTTTGAAAACTAGATATTAAAAACGTCCGGTTTCAATGTAGACCTATTGGAAACTCTTGATTTCGTGTACAACACCTCAAGTTTAGCGGAATACAAGAACTGGCGGGACAATCACAGTTGCATTATTTTTAGTAGCCCACGTGCAGTAATATCTTATCTCAAAGCTGGATTAACAGGTCAGTGTATTTGTAATATGACGTCTTCTTATACATAAACAGGTAATGGAAATGACCTCTGTTTTGTTGTTGGCCCAAGCACTGAGTCACAAGGTAATGCATCCCACTAACATTCAAAATCTATTAATGAAATTGTTTTACAGCAAAAAAAGCTGGATTTTCTCCGAAAGGAGCTGATTCAGGGGATGCAGAGGAACTCGCAAGTTTTATTTTGAAACACTTTGCCTCAAGTAATCTGTGAATAATCTAGTTTATTTTATTTATTATACACAAATCACTCTACAGAATTGGATAAACCTGTATTTTTCCCAGCAGGGCAAGTACATCGCGACACATTACCAAAGGCTTTGGAAAATGAAGGTATCTGTTTAACTAACTACCTTATATTTTTGAAACAGGAATAAAAGTAAATACCGTTGTGGCTTATTCCTCTGTAGAAAATACTCAACTTCACGAAAAATTGCGATTAAATTTATGCGTAAGTTTTCCTTTGTCAAGCACAACCAATATCTAATAAAATTTATTTCCACCAAAATAACATTTTTTTTCGATTAGATTTAGGCTCCATCTGTTCAAATAAATAAATTGCAAAATGTTCATTTAATAGTTTGATGATTTACAGTAAGAACATAACAATCAGGTAACATTTACGTACAGAATCTTAGCAGGGATATCTTTTCAAAACAGAAATATTTAAGCTAAATGGTATGTTTTATTACAAAGTAGTTGAGAACATATTGCCAAATAATATTAGTGAAAGATCACTGATACATTTCCACAACATCAATAATGTTAAAAATTATTTTAAGTTACACTAAGAATGATGCTCTCCTTGATATTTATCAGCCAAAATTAAGGGATAGAGATAGAGTCACAAATATTCTGTGCCAGTTTGTATGTAGTTCATAGTATTTTTTGTATGAAATTTTAAGTGTAATTTTTTTTAACGTTCTCTTTTCAAAGGAAGGAAATCCTATTCCTGAATGTTTGGTATTTTTCAGTCCATCTGGCGTTTCATTAACTGAAAATATATTATTAACTGAAATTAAACCACATCGGCCAAATATTAAAGTAAGTGTGTAAATTTTGTTTACTTCCATTACAATGAACAGTTTTCGTACTGTCTCTATTCAAATTCCCTGAACATGCTTTGTTTATTCATCTAACAAAATAAGTCTTAATCCTGAATGCTTGCTTGAGAATTACTAGCAATGCGTAAATCATAATAAACAAATCTTTTGGGGCACAGTTTTGGAGGTTTGCGGTGGTAAGGCGTTCGCCTACAATGCCAAAGGTCGCGGGTTCGAATCCTGAGAGGAGCGGGAGTCGTGGATGCGCACTGCTGATGAGTCCCATACCAGGACGAAACGGCCGTCCAGTGCTTCCAGGTTTCTAAAGGTGACCTAACAATGATGATTGATTAATGATTTCAAATGTGTAAAATAAACAAATCGTTTGTAAAAGTTAGCTTTCATCATTAACTGATAGATATCATAGATTATGCATCAATGTTCATCTTCAACTCCATGAAGAGAATCTACCAAGATTTGTGTTTTTTCTTTCTACACTAGATCGAAAATAAATTTTTTTTTTTATCAAGTCTTCACAAACAGTTTGCTTTTATTACTACCTTTGTTAACATGTTCATGAATTCTAAGTTTTACTTGATTGCGATAAAAGCTGGAAAATTATTTTTGCAGACAGATCTAGTTCCTTTACTCTTTTTATGAGAAACGTAGACATTTTATTTCCGTTCACTTAGTACTAACAAGCTAGATTGGGGACAGATTTAACTCTTATTATTTTTATGCTGAAAAATTAGTTAAAATTGGTTTACTCCTGTAAAATATTAAAAAACTGACCTGTAATACAATAACTTCCTAAAAATTTGTGCAATTTATTGAGTGGTTACACTGACAAGTGAACTGAGTCATGTTGGTAGATGTAGGCAACCTGATTGGGTTCCGCAAGTTGAAAGTCACTGGTGGTTAGAGACCTTGAACGACATGGTTCAAAATCGTTTGCAATGGCGCAGATGCGTCCAATCTTTGTGTTCTCTCAAATTTTAATCTGAATTCCTCATAATCTCTATCTTTCTCCTATATTTATCTCACTGAATTATACTTCTCGAATCATATCTTCGCTCCCTAATTTTCTCCACTATTAGATTTGAACTGACAGTTGCGTCTGTGTGCTAATGTTGTATGGCAATCTGAACTGGTGTATATACGTACGACGTTCTTTGTTGTATCTGTTTGTCTGTGGTTAAACTGAATAATTACGTATAAGAATAAGCTGAAGCAAATACAGGTACTTTTATTCTCACAGAAATCCAGTTTAATGTTTGTTCATCTTGAAAACCTAAAGGAGGTAGTCGAAATTTAGATTAGTGAGATTACGAACATACAAATAACTGTTTTGCGGGATTTCCATAGTTTGCAATAGATAATTAATAACTCTCTGTTGTTCAAATCTTTGATGCTTTTTTTTTAAATAGAAGGCATATTTCGTAAGCTTTGTAAGAAATGGTTAGGAGCTGTGTAACTACGTGGATTAGAAGATTTTTCGAGGTTTCATTTCACTGTTAAATTTAGTTTTTAAAATTATTCCTAACGATGTATCAAGTATTCAAATAATGTAAAATGTTATCGGACTATGGTATTTTGGCAAGATGATCATTTAAGTAGGTATAAATCTTGGATAACTATCTTTTTAAAACTACTAATCTCAAGATTAGCAAACAAGTTAGGAATTTTCATCGCGTTTTACTCTCGAACTTTAATGATAACAATGATAAGGGCACAATTACAGGCCAGGCTCTTTTAGTCTTCACTATCATTTCACCTTTGGTGCATTCGTTTAATTGTGTAAAAAAATACTAGGAATGGTTATAAGTAAATAAAACTCACCAAAAAGCATAGATATATGTAGTCAACCGAATCATACGTGATGTATACAAGCTTAAGGCTAATATCCAACTTATCAAAGTAACACTAGTCGTGGAAGATTGAAATATGTGATCACTGTTAAATGTATGGTGATTATTGCACTAAGCTACGTTTCATACCTCCCGACTATAAACTTCCCTTTACTTTGACTTAAACATTGATCTGGTCCGATTGTCTGTCGATCTAGGTTGTCCTAGAAGTTTTAAGTAACCATAATTCTGTGTTAATGAAACATTTTAATTTTCAATGTGCCCTATAAACAATTATTTTACTTTAACTTCTTCTTTTGTAAATTAGTTAGTTGCTATGGGACGTGCAACAGCAACAAGATTAAAAGAATTAGGTTTAACTGTTTCAGCTATTGCCTCATCACCTAAACCGGAAAGTCTATTAACAGCATTGAAACAATTAAAGTGATCTTATTATCATTATCCTTAAAAGAAAACTCTATTTTGTCCTTTCAATCCGTATTTCTCTGCTACTTTAATGTAACTAACTTTTACCTTGTTTACTTTTATTTTATTCTAATCACTTTCAATACCCAAAGAAGG